ATTAACTTTACTTTTCTTTGATTATTTTGTTTCAGAGGTATTCTATCTTGAACGTCATTTAGAAGGATGGGAAACAATGAATTTTAGTCACCCAGCTATTAATATAGATGCAGAAGGAAAAATTGGAATGGATTTTGAAGGTCCATTTTATGATAAGAAATATCATATAAAGAGCAAGGTATTATTAATAAATTCTTATCATCTATTATTAAAAATTTTACATATATTTCTGACTGATATGTAAAATTTACACATTTCTTAGAAATATTTATAAATAAACTTTCACATTTTATCCTATGAATCAAAAAAATATCTTCTACATTTTAATTTATTTTAATTTAATATAATTTCAAATAAAAATAAGAAAACAATATTTTAATGGAGAAATAATTAAATTTAAAACATAAAACATCTTAGTACTTTTAAGTTACAACACTCCTCAACAGCGATGCTGAAATATCAGGTTATAAAAATAAAATTTAGACATTTTGAATGAATTTTATTGACAAGTAACTTAACAATGATTACAATTAATCCTTGTAGATTATCACTATCAATATCAATCACATCTCACCACCTTAACTGCAAACTTTCAATCCCATGAGCATAGAATGACTGGGGGTTTTTCTTTGAAGAAAGTCTTGAGTATCATGTATTGTCATTGAACTACATACTGGTAATATGGTTCTGCAGGGTGCAAAATAGATGTTAATCAGTGCCAATTCTGGGCTGTAAGATGGATGAAGCAGAACCTCCTAGCCCAGACTGACCAGTCTCTCGAAGGTCATCTTTGCTCTATATGCTGGCATGTTGTCATGATAGTATTGGACTTTGTCAATTTTTGGATGAAGTTCTTTAATCTTGATGTACAAACCATCCAGTTGTTTGCAGTACAGCTCTTTGGTGATAGTGATATTAGTTGGAAGCAGCTTTATCATGATAACACCAAACAAATGCAGATCATGCCTTCTTCAGTAGTATCAACCCTTTGACATTTGCAATAGTTGGTTGACTTTTGTTCACCCATGAACACTTTACAGATGAGATTGTGAGCCTTCATTACATTGTGGCCACATTGGTGTTAGAGCAATAGTAAATGAATGTGTTCTAATGAATTTCATATTGTCAAAAATTGCTGATGTGTCTATTTCCAATGAAATATGTGATGAAATGCCCTTAGGTTACTCTACTTATATATCCACATTGAATGTCTCAAAACATTTTTTCAGTCATTTCTATAAAAAAATTGAAATTTGTAAATTTCAACTTTACAACCTGATAGATCTATTGTTATTGTATGATTGCAAATGCAAAAGTGTAAACAAAAAGCTATTGTTGAAGTTACAATAGAAGATTGTAGTAAGTACCATAATAGATCAATAATAAAATTAAAATTTCCATGATGTTGCTAATTGACCTGAATCTCTCAATTAATTATGTTGTTTTTAAGCTTCTTTCAAAAATCAAGAATGTTTCTTCTATACAGTGGATTTCTTCAGCTCTTAAAGTTTTAAGGACTTGCAGCATTGCCCCCCAGGAAACATGATTTTTTTATCCAGGGCATTTGTATTTTCTTTCCAACTTCTTAATGTCTCTGTGATACAATCTAATCTTCTCACAAGTGTTAGTTGATGCTACATACTCAAACAATTGATCCATCAATTTTTTGTAAATTGGAATTTTATAAACTCTGTTTTTACGCAAATGATTTACTTTCTCTTTATCATTCCTCAAAATATTAAAAATTGTTGGCATTTTCCATTTTATGGTGTGATTAATATACTTTGCAAGACATAATGGTTTGACTGTCAAGAGATTAGAAGGATAGAGAGCAAGTTCTCTCATTTCCATCAATCAGGAAACTTTTGTTTCATTTAGCATTGATTATAATAATTATTTAAAAATGCTATCAAGGATTCACACATTTTTTAATGTTTCTAGTTTCTGATTATAAATTTGATTTGAGATTTTCAAATTTCTAGTAACATCTTAGAATTGCATATTCTCCATCTTTCTCATAGATATTTGCAAAAAATTAATAACTAAAAAAAAGTGTGTATGTTTTCAAGACTTAAGAGAAAAAATTTATAAAAGTCATTTGTATAGTTCATCAGATATAAATATTTTAACTATACAGGGTGTCTCAGTTAAACGTTTCAGAACTTCTAAGAGGGGTAGGGTGCATCCCGATGACTCAGAATCATATAGCAATGCAGGGTCGGAAATGCTTTTCTGAAGTGGTAGATGGCGTTGCACAAAAGTTCCGAGCATTCTTGCAGGAAATTGTCATTTCGCACAAGGAAGCAGAGTTAGCCGATATGCATTTGGTGTACGGGGCTGCAGATTGTAGTGGGCTAGCCACACAGTGCTTGTACGCAGAACAATATCCAATGAGGCATATTCCCAGCCATAATTTCTTTGCAAGCGTGCACCAGAGGTTAGCTGTTTCTGTGTACATCACCACTTCAGGAAAGCATTTCCGACCCTGCATTGCTATATGATTTCGAGTCGTCAGGATACACCCTACCTCTCTTAGAAGTTCTGAAATGTTTAACAGACACCCTGTATATGGATAATTTTGAAATGTCTTGCATACATATCAAGTTCCTAACCATATAATGTTATATTCTTTGTCAATACACAACAAACCTTAAATCAAAAAGCTATTTGTTTTTAACAGTCAAAATGTTTTTAAAATGATTTAATTTCTCATCATCAACCGCCTCAGGAAATATTCTATTTAGAACAACTTATTTTCAAACATCTTCAAATCTTTAAAATATTAAACTTGTTCTTTCTTTGTTCTCTTTTTTCTCTTTACATCTTGAGAAACTTTAGGCATTATTCACTGTATTATCCCCTCTGCATTTACTTTTCTCTAACACAAAACAACTTTTAAATCCTAAATCGCTCTTGATTATCTCTTTTTTAATTTCTTCTATTCTAAATTCTATGATAAATTTTTATGATTTTTTACAATTTTAATCCTTTTATTTTAAAGAAAATTCCGACTTTTATATTATTTATTACTTTCCTGGGAAATTTATTCATTATATACTCAATTTTTTTAAAATTCTATTTTAATACAATATTGATTTTGTTTATTTATATTTTGTATATAATTTGAAATTTATCAAATTATTCAAATTTATTATTTTACTTAAAAATATTGTATATTCACTGACAGACAGATGTATTGCCTAGTTATGAAATAACTTATTCGTCTAAACTCACAAGTACTCCATATATGGAATTAAATATTGAAGTTCCTGAAGATGGATTTAAGAATATTAAATACAGAACAGATATTGCAAGAGATGGAAGTGGATTTTCTATTGTAGGAACTCATGTTCATACAGTAAGCATTTAGTTATTTATGCAATTTTGATAAAGGTTAAAGAAAAAAATTAGAACCTTGTTTATAACTAAATATAATTATTAACTAATTAAAAGTATGCTTCAACAACATATAATCATATATTCATACTAATATACTTTAGTAATGTTTTATTATCCCAATAATTTAAAAATGTTTTAAAATAACCAAGTGTTGGGAAATTTTAGGATAAACCAGAAGAAGTAAAAGAAAATCTTGCATTTGCATTGAAATTATTATCACCTTTCACAATTTCACTCAAAGGATATGAAGATTTAAAATTTTCAATGGAAATAGCAGAGAAACTTCATCCTAGGCTTGTTCTTCTATCAGAAAAAATAGAAGCTATAGTGAAAGATCGCAATCATCCTATAAATGTTCTTATTAAATCTTTAAGAAAACAATCAAAGAAACAGGTATTTAATGAAATTTATTTTATATTGAACTGATTATATTTGGCATCTTATATAAATTTATGATACTGCAGGAAGAATTTTATAGAAATGCATTTGAAAAATTGAAAGAAAATAGAAAAGAAATCCGTGAACTGCTTTATCCATTTATACAACCAACTGTTGAAATGATTCGTAATATAAGAAGAGAAGCAGATGAACGTACAAAACAAGCACAAGATAATTATGAATCTTTTACAGTTGCAGGTAAATATAAGTATGCAAGAATTTCTTATATGATGATAATTTTTTATTTTTTAAAACGTTGAATAAATTTGCAAATTTCTATAAACATCAAATAGAATTATTTTAAAAATTTGTAAAAAAAAATAACAGCAGAAAATTTGAAAATTTAATGATAAAAATTTATAATGCCTGTATCAAATTATTTGTTTAGAAAAAAAAAAAAAAAGATTACTTTTACCAAATATATGATTTTTTTTCATTTTTGCCTATTAACATCTCTGAAGATGGGTTGTAGGAACCCAAAAATGCTAGTATGATAAAGATATAAACCTTGGAAATAGCAGGTTTTATTTATTTATTTTTTTAAGTAATATAAACATTTTGAGAAATAAAAATAGTCAAACAATATTGTAAAAAAAGAAAAATTTATAAAATTTACATTAAATTATTTATTAAATTTTATGTGAACTCATGACAAAGTAAAACATATTCTATCTTTGCAACTGAAGTCTTCAATAATCAAATTTATGTTTACATTTCAGGTTTATTTATTAAGGCTTATTAAGTAATGCTATATGGCATGTGACTATTACCTCAGCAATATAAACATAACATAAAACACATGACCAAAAATAAAAGCAATAAAATACATGTATAAAATTTATGAAATTTTTGTAATATATAAAAATTAAAATTATAAGGTAAAGATAAAACATGTGTGTATATAAATAAATTACAATGGTAAATTATAAATCATTCCTTTACTTAAATTTAAAATAAGTAAAATTAAAAAAATAAAAAGAACTTCATATTTAAAGTTGCTGTAAGAGCAGGGCCAACAAGAACTTGTATGATTGTATGAGGTCTGGGGGTAAAGCAGATAGAGTAGGCTTTTTTAGCCCTTTTTTTTTGAACAAATAAAATGTGTAAAATGTTTCTTATTATATGTTTGTCAACGTGGACATTAATTATTAACAGGACAATTATACTGGTGTTAAGCTTTTTACACAAAAATTGAGGAAAAAGTTCTTAAAGAAAACAGACTTTCTTTAAGAACTTTTTCCTCAATTCTTGTGTAAAAAGCTTAACACCAGTATAATTGTCCTGTTAATAATTAATGTCCACATTGACAAACATATAATAAGAAATTAAGTAAGGACAGTAAGGCAATAATAATGAGGGACTCTTTTGTTTATGTTGGTACCTGTAGTATCCATAATGCCACAATATCTTTTCTAAAGCTCTTGAATCATTTGGTAAAATCTTGAAACTTTCTCTACAGACATTTTCTATTTGTTCAAGTATTCTACTTTGAGAGAATTGAGTGTGTAAAAGACTATGGGGGGTACATAATTGACCTACCTAATAGGGGGTACCTACCCTAGAAAACCCGCTGTGCATCTCACTGAGCAGTTCCCAGTTCTGAGAGATTGGATCATATACATAGCATCCTATAAAATTGTTTGAAGCAGAAATGAGGTTTCTGCAATCTGTAATGCAAATATTTATCAGAATGACAAAGTTAATGCAAGAGGAAGCGTTTTTTACTCATATTTATATATTTATGAAATGTCATCTTTATTCTTAGCATGATGTGAATGTTTTTTAAACTTGAAGTAATTGCAGAGTTAAGTTATATGATAGACTTGAAAAGTATATGCTAAGTTATATGATAGACTTGAAAAATACATATAACATCCTGAAAATCATTGACTTTGGCCATGATGTGCAAAAGAAACTGGAATCTCTTTTTTGAAATAAAATAATTTCAGAGAGTGTAAAAATGAATTTTTTTTTTCTTGTGCAAAAGATTTCTACATTATGGCTGCATTCGAAGTACTGTTCATCTTGCAAATGAAAAGTAGACTGTTTTGTGATTTTTAGACACTGCATCTATCAGTAAAAGTGAATAATGGTCAATAGAAGATATATGCCAGATTGCATTTTTGTTAAAATATCTTCCTTATGAGGGTGTCGACAAAGTAGTAGACAAATGGAGAATATATCATACCAAGAAATACCAGAATCTTAGTTCCTGGAAAATAGCACATTTGATTCTAGTAAACTGTGTCCTGATGATGTCAGCTGTGATTACAACTCAAAGTCAGACATTAAAGTTTGATGACAAAAGGTTAAAGAGCACATGTTTATGTGCTATAGGAATATGTTGCTGCACTATTGGTTAAAATGTTTTATATAAAGAACCAGGCAGAATAC